CACGAATAAATTTGAAAAGGAAAACAAGTTCAAGGCAAGCCGCTCACTCCTGAATAGGTGGTTTTCCAAGCTTCCTCTCGGCATGAATTCATAAACTAGAAGCCTCTGGTCATCTTCAATGCAGTAACCGACCAGTTTCACCAAATTTGCATGAATAAGGTCGCCAAGAAAATTCACTTCAGCCTGCCAAATGAACCAATGAAGTGTGAGGATACCATATATATGTGTAATATATGTCAATAATAAATCACTTTTTATAATGAAAAACTAACCAGCCACTCTTTGTGACCCTGAAGCCCATCATGATTTAAAGTCTTCACAGCTACAGTAAGTCCTGTCCCTGGTTTGACCGGTGCTGTTCCATTTTCCTCAATCCACCCCTTGAACACACAGCCAAAGCCTCCTTCCCCAAGAAGGGACTCTGGTCTAAAGTTTCTTGTGGCCAACTTCAGGTCATTAAACGTAAACTTCCTAAGCCGGGAAGATATTTTGAGCTCCTCTTCTAGTTTGGCGGTAGATGAACTGCTTTCTGCAACACTTGTAGCACTGGAAGAAATTACTGGAGCAGCAGGCTGTTCTACACTTGTTCCCACACTCGTATCATTCGCGCATTTACTTTCTGTCACCAAAAACAATCATAAAACAGCTGAGAAAATAGAGATGAGCCGGCAGGAAAGGACAATACGAAGAATGATTCAGTCCTGAGAAGCCACCTACAGATCAACAAACTCCTTGATTGATTTTTAAGATTAACAGATTGTCAAAATCTCAGCCAATTGAAAACAGTCAACCTCCACTCTCCAATAAACCGCATATAACATTCAGAATAAAAAAAGGGACATGCAGTATGGTTCTAGAGCTGAAAACTTTGAAACAGGTTAGACGGAATCAGAATAGATGGGCATATAGCTTTCCAAAGCTAGTAGCACACAATAGCTCTAAATTCTTTGGTCTATCCTTAGGATTCTCTCCTTGGCACTTCTCTAAGGATAACCGGAATTGAACCTAAGAGCTAAGACCTCAATCGCTCACCAATTGTACTACACAAAAATGCCTGGAAAAGATCCTTCTTGCTCCAATTAGAACAGATCTACCTTTCCTTTCATCTCTACTTATCAACATATTATTTCTAACAGAACTGACCACTTTGAATACAGCCACCAGTTTTTAAAACCAAAATAGCAATTGGTCTTATTCTAAATACATGAAAGAAAAAAATACACAAAGAAAATGCTCCAAGATAAGACTTCAACAAGCACAAACAAAAAATTAGAAAATTGGATCTTTGTTTTGAAAATAAAAAAATTAGCATACAACAAGGCATGAAATTATACCGCAGTTAGTACTGATGCCACTGATGGAGGTATCAACCTTAGATCTTGAACTTGAAGAAATGCAACAAGCAAAGAACCTGAACTTAATCCAACACGAACTCAGCTCACCAGAATCTGACTCTCTGTCACTCTTCGATTTCTCCAAATCCCAAGCCTTCACCCTCTCCACCTTTGCATCATCACCCCTCAATCCCATCTTCAAATAACCCTAAAATCAAACTCGGATATCATCAAAGCCCTCCGAAATCCCAACTCTACCCATCCGCCCCCAGTACAACTTCTCTAGTAAATCTCACTCTCCCCCCAAAATCAGGCCAAGAACTGCAAATCCCACATTCCAAAATCCCTAAAAAGAAAAACCCTCGCTCCAGTTTCCCATGAATCGAAGAAAAAATCCCTTCTTTGAGAGAAACAGCTCAGACCCAGACCTAGAAAAGAAGGGTCCGGTGGATTCAGAGGGGATGACTGTTTGACCGTCCAAGCTCTGAGAAGTGAGGAGAGAAGAGAGGAAGAAAGAGAGCACAGGACATGATGGGAACAGTGAGGGAGAGGGAGAGGGAGAGGAAGAGGAAAGCTGGTTTGGTTTGGTACTTTTTGGTATCCCCCACATCAAAAGTGCCCCCAGAAAGAAAAATGTCTGCTTCCCCTAAAGATATCGAAATCTCAACAAAAGACTCAAAAATAATACTCTGCTGACCGGTTCTAAAGCTCCTCCCCCCACACACATAACATAAAAATATTTTTAAAATTTAAACAGGATATTCTCCTTTTATTCCATGTCAATTCACATGTTTTAGTTGATTTTAAAATACTCTTGATTTTACACAATTTAAAAAAATATTTCTTCCATTCGAATTTAATTTTCCCAAATTCGAATGAACTTAATTAACATAGATACTCCCAAATTCGTTAATTTACGTCATTACTCCTAAAACTATCTCATATTCATATCGGTACTTCTGCGCTACTTAGCAATCATGTTTGCTACTTAGGTGACTCTGTTAAATGTCTCTTCATCTGCAATTTATATCATACGACCGACCCCGGCGTTTAATTTGGGCTAAAGGAATATCGAAGATGAAGAAGGTGGAATCGATCTACAACAGGAATTTATTGCGGAAGGCGAAATCGATCTGCAACAATGAAGAAGGAAGACCTGCGGCAGGTTCGGGCGAAATCGGTCGGCGATGAAGTAGGAAGATTTGCAGCAGGTTCGGGCGAAATCGATCAACAATGAAGAAGGCTCTTCCGATCCGTGATTCCAGATCTAATAGGTCGGCAAAGCTCTAATTCCAAATCTGTTCTAATTCCAATATGGTCTTTTGCAAGATTTCAGATTTTTATGAATGGTATGTCGTTTAAGAATGAGTACTAGGCTATTAAGAAATGAGTACTACTAGGTTTTAGAATGAATATTACGTTATTCGTAAATGAATATTGTATAAAGGTGTGAAAATAAATACTACGTTATTTCAGAATGAGTACGGCATTATTTCAGAATGAGTATCACGCTATTTCAAATGAACTGTTACGTTTGTGCGAAAATGAGTACTACTTTACTTCAGATTAAGTACTACCCGGATGTATCTATTTCTAGGTACAACCAGTTGTACCATATTTTACTCCTCCTCATCGCCGTCTTCATACATCTTTCTCTCTTTTTAAGTTTCTACGGATGCATTTTCTTCATCTAAACTTTTTTATTCGAATTTGAATTTCTTACGGTTGATGTTCTGAACTGAGCTAATCTGATTTGAGTTGTTAAATTTGAATGAACTTCATATGATCAAAATGGATCAGATTCATTGACTTGTAGTCTAATTTAAAGATGTTGATGATTTGATCTGATTAAATTATCAACTCAGTATTAAAAGAAAAACACAAAATATGAGACAATTCTAGGAGTAATGACGTAAATTAATGAATTTGAAATATTTATGTAAAATTATGAATATTCAAGGGTATTCGTGTGAATTTTTTCTATATTTTATAAAAATATTAATATTTCAAAACTATGTTTCAAAAACAAACTCCTTATATTACATTTATATTCAAACAGAATGTATTTTTCGCATATCAAGGTCATAGTTTAGATGTTTTAACCAAGAAACGTTAAATGAAAAGACTACATTGAAATAAAAAAGATTGAAACCATGAATAAGAAATAGCCAAGCACGAAATATGTAAAAATTATTTGGAGTATGTTCAAAAGGAAAAAAATCATACTCCCTACATCTCATAAAGAGCGTTGCATTAATGATAAGGTTACTTGGAGAAAAATGAAAAGAGAGGGGAAATCAACTTTTCAAATTTACTCTCTAAAAAAAAGTGAATATCGATCCTTGTAAATGTATATATACGGATTAACCCATTATATTTCTTCAATTTGGTGAAGTGGAATAATAGGTTGCACTTTTAAAATTCTTGAAATTTTAATTTATAGAGCTTTTAAAAGTTGAAAAATAAAAAATGTGTGATTAAAATTTTTTTAAAAAAGAGAGAATTGTTTGTGACCAGATATCAACTACCAAAATAAGAAATAAAGTGTAAAATATTTTTTTTTGAACAACCAACAACGGAAAATATAAGAAATTTTATATACTCATTTGTCTATTGATGAAGAGCACTTCATTCCTCTGAAATGTTTGTGGAGTGCTTGTAACTGACGTAAAATGTCTGCATTCTAGTTAGGAGTTTGCTCTATCTCAAAATTTGCTATGAGAGAGAGAACCATGCACTATTCTCAAAATTACGGTCCGGTTCTATCACATAATAGCCACACATTTTGTGGAGAGTTACGGCGGGGTTGGGGTGGGGGTGCAGGAGTGGGATAGGATGGGGGGATAGGGGGTAGGAACCGTCAATTTTACGAACGGAGCACCGGAGGTGCTCCAAAAACCCAGTGGCACCGGAGTGGCACCGTTATCCGGTGTCACTAGAACCGGGCCAAATTAACATATATAACTCTATAAGAGCAACACGAGAACACATACTCTATATCAGATTTAAGATATAAGGATTGTAAATATGTGAAAAAATAAAAAAGATATGGCTGCATATCCACAAATAAGTCAAACTTTTTTGCCACCACGAAATATGCACAACTTTATGCATAAACGTACACCACAATTAATCAAAAAACACATCATTCTCATTTATCACCTTAACCCATCGTTTGGATGGTGGAGAAAGAGGGAAGAAAGAAAATGCTTGTAAGGAAAACACACAAAACAAAGCATTTTCTTGTGTTTGTTTCGGAGAGAAAATGATGGGAGTGAGAAAAATAAGTATGGCAAAAATTATCATGAGAATAGGTGAGAAAACTTGAGCTCCTTTTTCCACCACTACTTTTCTCTTATTCTATCTTTCCAATCTATTCTCACACCAGTTTCTTTCCATTTTCCATCAATTCAAACAAAAACTTTTTCTCATCATTTTCTCACTGTTTTCTTTCCCATCATTTTCTTTCCTCTCATTTTCTCCTCTTCATCCAAACAAAGGGTAAAAGTCATTCTCACAGGTGCAGCTCCGGGGAGGGTCATTTTTTGGTGGAAGAGAAGGAAAAGAGCTATTTCGACTCCAAAAAGAGGAAAGAGAGGAGAAGATAACATATACTCGTAATAATGAATGAATGAATGAATGAAAGGTAATAAAAAAGGATATTCACATTGCACTAGTATCAGAGCTATGGGGTCAAAACAATAGCTTTGCTTCAAGAGAGCCTGAACTGGAATGACACAGGGATCATAATACTCCATACGAGAGAGAGAGAGAGACTAGAAGTAAACCAGCGGGAGGGAGGTATCATCGTGTCCCGGTAGGAATGCTTGAAGTTGCATATATCTTCAGAGAGTGCTCGGGAATGTACGTGATGCCTGCCACCCCAAAAATGTAACTATTAACGCGATATATACTCCTTACGTCTAGATTTAGTTGCCCGCTTTCCAAAAAACATCTCTTTACTAAGGAAAGAGCTTAAAATGTCAAATAAGTCCTTTAAATTAGTTTGTCATTCATTGATGTCAGCAATATTAACATGCTATCTAGAGGGTATTTTAGATAATCCATCGTAATTTGTTTTCAAAATATGAGAAGTGGAAAACTAAGTCCGGACACAGAAAAACGGGAAAGCCGACAACTAAATCTGACAGAGTTAGAGGAATCAAGTGTGATTATGAGAGCCAATGTGTACCTTTCTCTGTTACCTCAATTTGCAAGGAATCAAGTGTGATTATGCCATCTGTCAGGGGAAGAACCTCAAGTTTGACAGTAGCCGTCGATTGAGAAGGAACACATCTGATGGCACAAGTTTTTGTAAGGAAATAAGATGCATGGGGAAGGGGGAAAACTGAAAATATATACAAAGTCTAGACGATGCTTACCCTAATGGAACTCTACTCTGCAACCATAAATGTGTACACCCAGAATCCCGACTTGGATGGACGTCGGGTATGGAAATGACTCGCTCATCAAATGAAACTGCTCTCTTATGGCCTTTTGATGCATCTAGTACTTTACTCACTAATGCTGAGCTGTCACTTTTCCGAGAAGCATCTAGTCTGACATCCAGTTTCTCTGAGAACCTAGACCCAAAAAATGGACTTGCTGGCGATGTTGGTGAGCTGAGTGACATCACAGAAGGCGGAGAAGTAAGGGAGGCTGGAGCCAGCACTGTCATTGTTAGGTCTTCAGATGTCAAATTTGATGCTTGAAGAGTTAGGACCTGATGAATTACTGAACATTATTACAGGCAGCGCTTGTGTTCAAAATTAGCAGAACATCAATGCTCGGATTTATCTGCAAAAAAACCTGTGCTGGAAGCTGTGCTACTCTATCATTGGATTCTAAAGTTTGTTTCGACATTTCGGATGCAACAGAGATCATCAAATCCCTGGAGATTCGCGGTCGCCAGCTTGTCTGCTGTTTGAAGAACAACTTAGACCCTGCAAAGAAGAACCGAAAGAGAAAGAAACAAGCAGATAAGTGGAAGAGAGTACACCTGCAGAGATGAAGAGGGATATGATGAAACAAAACACAGTTCTTACCAGTATAATTGCATCTGCATGATACAAGAATTGCATAATGATCCGCCGGTGAAACACTATTTCTCGCCTTGGCATTCAAAGAATATTTTCTTGTAGATGCTACATTTCCAGCACTAATGCGTGATTGTGAACTTCGCTCACTGCAAACCTTGGAGTTTGTGCCCGTGGAAGTTGCTGGNGACCCTGCAAAGAAGAACCGAAAGAGAAAGAAACAAGCAGATAAGTGGAAGAGAGTACACCTGCAGAGATGAAGAGGGATATGATGAAACAAAACACAGTTCTTACCAGTATAATTGCATCTGCATGATACAAGAATTGCATAATGATCCGCCGGTGAAACACTATTTCTCGCCTTGGCATTCAAAGAATATTTTCTTGTAGATGCTACATTTCCAGCACTAATGCGTGATTGTGAACTTCGCTCACTGCAAACCTTGGAGTTTGTGCCCGTGGAAGTTGCTGGCTTGAGAATAAAGGAGTGTTCTTCACCACTCCTGTCAAAGGTGTATACGTTTCACCAAGATAAGATATGGATACAAGCAGTAAGCAGTAATTCCAATTTCCAATAGAGCAGATGAAACTACATTTCCAAATATGCACATCCATACATTTGTATGCAAATAAGCTTATGTCCTCTGTTGAATATAATGATCAGACAATTAAGTTTGAAAGGAATCTAAAAGTTTGATTTGTTTAGTTATTATTCTTTTGGTGGGCGTGTGTCTGAAGAGAGGGGGCATTATACTTGGCCAATAGTCAAACATCCAACATACAGATTATTATAGGGAAAGCTTCTCTTATTCATGTAGTTCTTTATTTTACTCCTTCCAAATGCACTTTTGAAAAAAACTGTTTTCTCATATTCTCTTGAAGAATCTCACTACATGAGAATCTGAGAACACTTAATAGATGATACAATAGTGTTGTTGCACATATTCCAAAAACAAAAAGTAATAATAATAAAATTTAAGAAATAACCCAGTCACTAATCTTTAAGCTAGAAACCCCATTTCAGATTCTTTTGCTGTTGGGAAAATCTAAAATATAAATCAAACACGAGCAGATAACTAAATGAGAACTATGGATGATGGATAACAGTACTTCCATATTACTCTCTTCAGTATGAGTGATAGACACACTGGGGACATATACTTGATATGCCTAAAAAGTGTCTCCCCCCTCTACTTCCTAAGACACAGGGGATGCTGCACTGCACCAGGGGCACATAAATGTTGTTTTGCCTGTAACGCCCCGAAACCCGGCCTATCAGAATTAATTAATTAATTATAGTTAATTAATTATTGAGACGGACCCGGAGTTTATTTAAAGTAATTGTCAATAAATAATAAAAGTTATACCGTTGTGTAGGGTTCGACGAGACGAATCCAACTGTGCAATCAGATTTGGATTTGGAGCCCATGGGTTCGGGAAGTGCGTTTGGGCCAAGTGCGTTAAGTTAATACGGAGCCCAAAACCCCAAAAGTATAAATATGTTCCTTCACACGCCTAAAATCCCTACACGCCCCATAATATTACGTAACCCTCGCCTCTCTCTCTCGCCTCCCTTGATCGAAACAAAGCGGAAGAACAAGGGAAACCGCAGAAGAAGAAGAAGAAGAAGAAGAAGAGTCCGTTGCCACGCAGTCTCCGCGATCGTTGGTATTACCTCATAAATAGTAACGCCGGATTCGAGGTGAGTACGTGGAACCCTAACGTTAGAGTAGGCAATTAGGTTTGAAATCTACGTTCGTAATTGTTGTGATGATTGAATTGCATGAAAATCTATTTGATATGATCATTCGGGAATTATTGGGTTTTTAATGAAAACTATGGGTAGAATTCATGTTTTAGGCATATGTTTGACGTTGTTAGATTACATGATATTCGTTAGGTGTTTATCACCATGTTTAAACGCTGAATTGGAAGAATCGGTGTTGGTTATTGAGCGGAAAACGAGCTAGTGCAGTACGAGGGTGTCTGTCACGGCGGACGGTAGGTCGTTACCGCCGGGACGGTACCAAGGTACCGCCACTCCCCACATTCCAACCTCTCTCTGGCCTGTCACCAACCGGTACCCCGGTACCGGGCGGACGGTAGGCCCTACCACCCAGTCGGTAGCGGCTACCGTGACAGGTATACCGTGCAAGGGCAACATGTGCTCCGGTCGGTACCCACGTACTGTGGGACGGTACCTTAGTACTGTGGGACGATACCTTGGTACCGTGGGGGCGGTACCCCCTACCGCTAAGGGTACCGTGAGGTACCTGAACCGGACAGCAAATCGTGTTTTGCTGAGGACGGACTCCGAGGCTTGTGTGTGTTGCATGACGGAAGTAAGGGGTGTCAACACCCCAGACCAACCGCTAAATGCTATATTTCTGTTACCAGGCGTTGATCCAACACATGTGTGATTATGTGGTATATATATATTTGTATATGTCATTGCAAGTATGAGTGGGCTGATCCAGCACACAGTAAACAGGTACCACGGGTTGATCCAACGCGTTTGGTAAGGTAAGTCTACCCAGAGGGAATTCTAAGGACTGACATAAGTAAGTATTAGGAAAGTAAGAGCATAAACCAGGTGGCCTGCTAGGCTCCAATGGTTAAGTTAAACTAGGTAAAAACGTACGTACGGGTATCCTTGATCTGCTTGGTGATCCATCAGGTGGGGATTCTACCCACCCAACGGAGAACCTCTTCGTTGGTTGAGCATGACCCGCTGATCCAGTGGGAACAATCGTGACTCCCAAAAGTAAAGCATAAGTCCCTAGTTTAGAATAGATTATAAGGTCGGGTTTGGTGATCCACCAACCATGATGAATTCACAGGTTCGAGGAAAATGGAAACAGGCAAGCGCCAGGTAAATTGTGTGAATTGATCTGTATGCGTGACCTATGTGTTGATTGCATGATATCACATGATTATTGTAAATTGTGGTTGTTTACTTGACGTTAGATATATCTCACTCAGCGTCAATGCTGAGCATGTGCTTGTTTGAGTGCTACACGCAGGTAATTAGGTAGAGGATGAACCTAGAGCCGATCCCGGAAGGCGATGAAGACGAGGAGATGTGGGTGGAGCTTATCGAGGATTTGGAACTTTTAATCATTAATGAATAATACATTACGTTTTCGGGCATGAGTCCCAAGTTTTGATTTGGAATTATTAAATACGCTACCGCAATTATTTTGATTATTACTCCGATGAATAGTAATCTATGTTTTGAAAGTGTTTTGAAAAGTTAAGTAGCGTTTGGATACCAATTTAGGGACAACCCGGTTTGCTGATCCGAGTATTCGGGTTATGCGGGTTGGAGTGTTACATTGCCGCTCTATTTTTAAAACATAATAGTCAGGCTGGTTATTATTTCCATTGAATTACAAATAGTGCTATATTAATCAAAGCTCCTAGACTTACCCATTTAATATCTTCATTCAATGTCTAGCAAATTCTTTCCTCTTCTTGCTCTATAATAAATAATCTTTGTAATTTTATTGTGCAACTATCATAGCATTAACAACAGACATTGAGCTTCTCCCTTGGCTTGAGGAACATAAAATTCACTCCCCAAGATTAATGAGGAAGCTCACCCAGGTTCGATTCCTAATGGAGGTGGAGAAATTGGCTCGTTGTGCGCCATTAGGTTGAGAAAGTACAAACAGATACCATATTGTAATAGGGTCAATAACACTCAAAAGAAAAACAACAGAAACAATAAATTCCCACAGAGTGGGCCTAGGGAGGGTATGTACGCAGACCTTATCACAACTCAGAAAGTAGAGGCTATTTCTAGGATATCCTCGTCTCAAAACACATGATCACAATGACATAGAAAAGTAGCACGAACAAAGACCAGAAATAAAACCAAATACACATGGATAAACTATAAACTAAGGCATTCTCGTCTCAATTAAAACATAAAAATATATAATGCTTGAAAGGTGGATTTTAGTGCAGGCATTTTCAGGAGGTATTGCAGATGAAAGATTTATTTGGGACCTAGGTCAAGTGCAGTGGATGAAACCTGACCAACCAAAGGCAATGTGACGGCAGCCTGGATCACTGCCTGCTGTCTATAGGTTGTGTGACATGAGTGCAATGCATAGTAAGGAAGATACGAGTTGCAGCATGCAAAAACTTGCATCCTTAAACCATATCACACATTTTGTGTCTTTAGACATTCAGTTCCATAAACATGGTCAGTCAAATGGTAGTTCGTCAAGATTTGACTAGGAGGAAAGCTTCATGAACTCATAAAATATTGGGTACATTTCACCACTTCATTCAAATAGCCTCAAGAATTGATATTGTATTCTATATAATCTAAACAGCATTCATTCTATCATCACGACACCACATAAACTTAAACTTGTTGGATATAGACGGTATTTATAACACAAAAGGATGTGACTATATCATTAAAAAGCATGAAAAACATATAATCTTCAACAGATCCAGTTAAATTAAAGATGTGCTAATTCTGAAAAGAGAATAAGTTCAAATGGAGAAACCTGAGAGCTAAATTTGGTAAACAGTGGTTATTCCCAGCTTCAATACATGCAGTTGGTAAAGATAAAGGTCGCCCACTTTCTGAAGCTTCTTCAAAAACAATTGATATAGAATCTAAATACACAACAACATCTGGTGCATGTTCTGGAGCAACATTCTGCGAAGGTGAATGGTAATACTTAGTACTGGGACGTAAGGAAAATTTGCCCACTTCACCTTAACAATTGTTATATGTACATCATGATCAACTAACATGTTCACAAATTACTCTTTTAAGAATTACTCCGTAATTCAGAGACATCACTTAATAGATATAAACTGACACACCTTCTGCCTACTATCACGCCCTTTAAAAACAAGATGCAATATTAAAAAATAGTTATAACTGCTATTCTGATTTTGACCCATTACAACAAATGTGCTAAATGCACTATTATTGTTCGCTCTGTTTCAATCCAATAAGATAATTTTGGTAATGAAGCTATAGTTTATACATATTACTCATTATTCCCTCAGACTCTAGAGGGATTTCATGTTCACTATTCATGGATCCCACTTTCTCCCATTTTATTTTGAGATGTACTCTCCTTGTCACATTTTATTTGTCCTACTTTCCATCACCGTGCAGTTAAAAATTATTTCCAGTTTTTCGGTTTAATGTTTTAAACACCACCCTAACTTTTTAGGTCTACAATATACCCTTGAGGCGTTGCTAACCATTATATTTTTAAATGATTTGACTGTGTTGGCATTACTTGAGGTACAATTCTGCAATTTAGTAAAGTATGTCGGGTTATTTGTTTTCAGTGAAAGCCACACTACACACAAAAAACTCATATTTTGGAACAGAAGGTGCATTAAAAAATCCTAGAACTGCTTTATGGTATACAAATTGTGAGGGTACAGACTACAAAAATGGTTGGTTACACAGAGCCAGATTGGAATAGATGCGCATCAAATAAAAGGTCAATGTTAGGATATGTGGTCTGTTTTCTGGCAACTTAGTCATGTGGATGAGTAAAAATTCAATCTAGTGCAAATGCTAAATAGTGTTCAATGACACTCAGAGCCTCTGATGCTTATTTGGTTAAAGCATCTTCTTAATAAAGTAGTCAAGTACAGAGTAGAATTTCGTATGCTAGAACCAATGAAACTATAATGTAACAATCAAGCATGACTGCATATTGCATCTAACCATGCATCTTACCAAGTGCTTCATAGAAGAATGAAATGCAACATGGTGTAATGTTTTTGAGAGAATGTTAGTAATAGGCATATATTTTCACTAAAAAGATCTTAAAGGTCCAATGATAGAATGCACTTTTAGCAAGCTCGGAACATTTGATCTACATGTTCCGGCTTGAGGAAGATGTTGAAAAGCACTCACATTAGCACACAAACAGTAGCATCTGAAGGTCTCTTTACATGTACCCACAATTGATGGACAAATAAACTTTCGTTTCATACATAATATATGGTGGGTGACATTTTTTTTGTCAAACTTCTTATTTCTTAAAATAACAGTTAACAATGACAACGGCTAAATGTAGATGGATGGAATAAAGAAAAAAGATTAAATTTAAGAATGACATACCTTTATTTGAACAGAGATGAGGTCATCTATGCTGCAGTAAGCAGCAAAAGAAGTAATTTCCAGTGGTTGAATTATTTCAATTTTCCTCCTCCATTTCCTTCCAGGTATATGAATCCCTTCCAAACCACAATGAACAGAAAACCTTTCAGGTTCCAATGAAACCCCTCTATAAGATAAAAGTCCTCCACTACCGCTATTTTCACTTTTGATTGCCTTACGAAATGAAAACCGCTCCCAGTCATCTGGTTCAAAACCTGGGCCACAATTCGGAGTTGAAGTAGATGAAGGGGGTAAAATATTTGGTGGCAATGAGGACATGGAGTAACTTCTGAAGTTTCCAAAAGAAAAAAGCTGAGAGCCAGTTGATCCAGATAAGGCAACCCTTGTAGATGTACTACGGATGCTTGCAACAGAAGTGAACTGAGGTGGGGTTAGAGATCGTGTTGGAGGAGGAATAGAATTCTCCAGAGGAAACAACCATTTTAAGAGCTCACCACATGGATCTTGATTTCGCGACACTGAATCTTCGTGACCCACAGAAGGAAAACTAATATCCTGATATTTCTCAAACTGAAGAATTTCCAATACAGGATCTCTCACAAATTCAGCACCAACATTTATCTGTAAGAGTACCTGCACCCTTCCAGACAATAAAAGTGAAGAGCACTTAGTTGGTACTTCAAACTAAAAAATCATCACTTGAGAGACTACATTGTTCAACAACCTTGTATATTGAAGAAAAATACCCATTATTATAAATGGTAAAGTTTATTTAGGGTCAAAGAGAGTGATATAAACAATATTTAATGTTTTTCTACCCACGCCATGCGCTGGAAATATACCGTAGGGCAATTACAGGATTTTGATTGTACTTAGACATGCGATGCTTACTCCGTTACTCGTAAAGTTGTGAATTCTTCTTTACATACTGAATTCCCTCCATGTATGTGTGTGTGTGTGTGTATAGAAAAAGTGTTCGAAATCATTGACACCATAGGAATGCCAACTCCATCAACCATTGCATGTTGCACAATATTACTCGGCATCTAGAATTCTACTCCTGATCAAGTTCAGTTTCAAATAGAGAGGTGGTGAATGGTTTTATGGAAGCCATAGAGAGATTGGTTGGTTCTCGTGTAAAGCAAGATAAAAAATTTAGCAACATTATTTGTACTATAAAGCTATAAGTCCATTTTGGCGACGTGTGGCAATTGGACAAAGAGATATGGTGTCTCCAAAAGAATGGTGGGAAAACTATGGAGCACAGACTGTGTGTAAAAGATTCTTGGCAATAAGCAAACATGCTTGCTAAATAAAGGTTAATGATTTGGTATTTGTGAATGTTAGAGTGTCATCCCACATCAGAAGTTCAAGAGCAAAATAATCGGTATATAAGCTCTTGAGTTGAACTAACTAATTGATTGGATTCAATCTTTTAATGTGGTTCAGCCCAAGTGTCTTATTGCCCAATCCAGTTATCACTACCCCATCTTAAATTGTCTCATGGTATGAGAGACAATGTGCTCTAGGGTTAGGGTTCATTGTTTGCAAAAAAATATTCAAGGGAATAGGAGTTTATTTGCAAGTAATCAACCGGTTAGATTCAAAATGGCTCAGTTGTCCACTTGAGGGGGGGATGTTAGAGTGTCATCCCACATCGGAAGTTCAAGAGCAAAATAATCGGTATATAAGTTCTTGAGTTGAACTAACTAATCAATTGGATTCAATCTTTTAATGTGGTTCAGCCCAAGTGTCTTATTGCTCAATCCAGTTATCACTACCCCATCCTAAATTCTATCAGTGAAATACAATCGTGCACTAAATAGACGATACAATGCACAAGATTTCATTGGTTCCATTTTTTAAAGTGGTATAGATGATACCAGATGAATTAACAGATAAGTAAATTGACAACATTGCACTTTTTTTGTTGGTTCTACTACGTTACTCCTATTTATTAGTGTCACATCAGATAAAAAATAAACTATTAAGTATTAGTTAAACCATATATTCCTTTATAACTTCTTACTTTCACGTCAAACCAACGAATGTTGGAGTAAATTGACAAAATAAATGCCACCCACCTCTCCCCTCCGAAATTCCCTAACCTAAGGAAGGGGGAGAGAGGGCAGGAGCTGGATTTATAGAGTGACTTCCATCAACTTTGTTTGAAACATACCCCAATGTCTCCATTCGGGAGGGCACAGCACTTGGTAGCATTCCTTGCCACTCCTCCAGATGTGACCCCATCAAAATTCCCCCTATCAATGGCAGCATTAGAAGGAAGCTTCTTTTTTGAATTGTTCTTAGTATCTGAACTGTTTCCCATGAACCTTTCTTCAATCCCAGAGGAGTCGTCCACAGCTTTTCTTTTTGTCCATAGTGCCTCATCAGACCCAGCAATTCGGGCAAAGAAGTGAGAGTTTTTAAATCTTTGCACTAGAGATTCAGTCTGTCTTCTGTACTCTTCCATTCTCAGAAGTGACGCACCAGCAGAAACTTCGTTTTCGGGTTCAGAATTCCCCTGCATTTTTTTCCTATTTGTCTTATCAAAATCTTCACTGTCATTTATTTCTTTGGCACCAGAAACATTTTGAGAGTGAGAAGAATCACAGCAGCCTTCTTTGTCGTTGTTCTCTCCAAACCCATTTTTGTTCATAAGTTCCGCAACTTTAAATGGTGTAATAATTTCAGTATCCTGCTTAAATGCAGCCAAGCATGCTACTACTTGAACTTGTTCGCCTAAATTTAACACACAAAAAAAGGATTTTCAAAATTTCAAACACTAGAAAAAGTATTTCCTGCATGGCTGCATGCCGCATATAAAGTTCTGGCAATCTAGGGTGAATAGGTGATAGAAAAGAAATACTTAATAGGAAAAATCTAGGGTGATCCGTCCATTGCCAATGGAGCTAAAAGAGTCATTATTGATAATGTTTTAGTTTTGGGCACATAATGGAGTAAATCAAAGTGGCAAATTATTTAACTTCCCTTGCTTTGTACTTCAAATAAAGTCTTGGGCAGTACATGCAGCAATGCATCTAGAGTCTAACGGAAACAACATCTTGACCCCTGTTGGGATTGTGCTGGGTTGATGTTGAAAAATCTAGAGTGAAAAGGTGAGAGAATAGAAATCGTTACCAGGAAAAACAAAGGAGCGATCCAGCGAGCGCAATGATGTCATGTCCAGTGCCTCACTCCAGTTATCAGGAAGCTCCTCTGCATAGGTTTATCAAGCTTAGCAATAGTTTAAGCATTCATTTAGAATCCCCTTATTACCAGAACAATTGAGGCATCCAACAAAGTATTGGGTCATTGGGAACCAAGTAAGGAGCAAATAATGCACGAGAATGGGAAAACAAGTTAAGCATGCTTCGACGTTGAGCCGGGGGTCTCTTTGGAAACAGCCTCTCTACTTTCGAGTAGGGGCAAGGTCTACGTACACACACCCTCCCCAGACCCTACTCTTGTGGGATTTAATTGGGTTGTTGTTGTTTGTTGTTATATTGGCATATATTGTCAAGAGTTACATGATACAATAGACAGTCGAACACGTAATAAACCATAACAATACAAATCTTACCGAGTTGGAAAAACGTCATGAATTTTATGTTTAACTCATGGCTGTTCTGGCTTTGGATATTTAAGAAAATGATGGTGTATCCCCTTCAAATGGCTGAAACATACTGAAACTTCTTTCCTGGATGGTATCATCCCTTTTAAGACATTTCTAAATTCCATGTTCGAAAAAACCACTTCTTTCAAGAAGCTAAGCACCACCAAACACACTCAATAAGTGCAGAACCTATCTAAATGACAAGAAAAGGAGCAAAAGATTACCCTTTGGAATAGCTATCCACCCTTGGCTTTCAGAAACCTCAATGTGGCTTCCCTTCCCAACCGATGCAGCAAAAAACCCACCTCCATTTCCGTGGCCATCACTCTCACCGTCATGACCCTCGAATGACTTAGTCGGCAACAATGGATCCTCCGCAAACAGCGCGCCAAGAGTACTGCCCGGCTTTGGCGCATAACCAGCCTCCGTCTGAATCTTCTGCGCCGGCGGCAGTTCTGCCGGAGCTGCAGCCTGATTCGACCTCATCAGCAGAAAATTCATCGTTGAGGGAAATTATACCGGAAACCTAACAAATTGGAGTCCGAATTCTCGATCGAAATCGGAATGCAAACGAGTATCATATCATCTCGCGTGCACAAATTTGCGTTAAATTTGACATGTTATACCTTTGGGAAGAATAGGAGTGGAAATGTTGATCGGAATGTCCGACGGCACGGAGGGAGGGGACGTAACAATCCCGTGGAAATCCCCGCTTTGACCGTAACCAACCCCAACTACCACTTTTTTTTTTAAAAAATAGTTTTTTTTATTGAAATTTCCAAATTGATATTCAATAATTATATATTTTTTTTAAATTAATTCCCGACATAAAATAATTATTGAGTTTTTACTCGTTAATTGAGAACAATGTTCGGTTTAGTCTCCCGACTAACGGGCCGTCAAAACGACGTTTAAACTTATACTCCGTACTATTTTCTCAAAATGATCCTTTTTAATTGTGTGTTTTCACAAACTACTTTATTTTTTAAGTAGAAACTCATTAAATATGGAAAAATGAAGCAGGTGTTTTCTCTTCTAATTTGATTACTATATTTGACCAAAGTTGAGACACCATTTTTAATGAGCTTTTTATTTCAAAAATGGACTAATTTGGGGGAATACCCAATTAGATAGAACTACTTTGAAAAATTAATATAAGTGGTAACGTCATTTTGACAACATTTTGATAGTCGTTAGTCAAGAGAATAAACTAAGCATTATTCTCAATTATTGAGTATCATTTTGAAAATTAGTTGATCTTGGAAATTAATTTGAAAAAAACATAGTTATTGAGTACCATTTTGAAATTTACGGTTGTTTTTAAATAATTTTTCAAATAATGTATGATCTCTTTCGTATGAATTTAACCTTGTTATTTAGCTTTTTAGTTAAACACTTAGATCATTAATATCAATATTTATATTAAACTATATTTTATAGAAAGATAATTTTTCAAACCTACATTTCAAAAGGGAAATATACTTTAATCGAATGAGAAAATTAAATTTTGGCTGAAAAATATTAATCCTTAAAAAAATTGAAACTATAAGCTCGTGTGATAGTATTTTCACACCATTGAAACTAATGTCAAACATAGCCTAACAATAATTATGAACTAAACATAATGATAGTGTAAATTAGACCAGGAGTAACTGAAAAAGATAGTCTGAAAAAGTCATACTTAATTGGTCGGATTATATGAGATCGATATAAATCCATATAATGGAAGTACAATAAATTATTTTTACGTGAAAACCTAAATTAGGAGAAAATCATAGGCCTTTTCCAGTAGTATCTTGTTAGCGAGGAAGTTTTATCATTGTCGAAGAGAGTACATAGGCCGAGGGAATCCTTTATTTCAAGAGTTTGTGGAAGTAGAATTGTCCTCTCCATATAGAGTGGAGGATCAGATGAGTCATTGTGGTGATTCATCACTGTCCAATCACTAAATAATGAGCGGGCAAAATTTTAATCACTATACAATCAAGTGAAGATGATTTTGTCATCAATCTAGCTCCTAACCGGAGTATCAATTAGTGTCAAATAGGCTTTCAATCAAGGATGATGACAAGAGATCTTCATTGTTCAATCAGATCTCATTACCTGCAGCTGCGAGGTAAGTTCCATTCACATATTGTGTAGTTTGATCAACATTGCATGTTGGGTCTCATATGATGTTGATATTTGTCTTTGTCGCGATCTTGATGGGAATAAACAAACAATGTTTCCCATTCATCTTTACTAACTGGCATAGGCTGCTAATTTTATTTACTTGACAGATCAGAATACTATACTTGTAATTGTGCATAACACGAATCACCGGAACCCCTTTTCTTGATAGGCCGTTATTTGTGTTAGGGCAAATATGTTTGTGGGATAAAAACTTATTAGTGTTATTGAACATTGAATTGAAATTGTGAAATAGGTCATCTGGTATATCAAGGAGACTTATATCAAACTAAATTGTTATGAATATTTGATCACCTATAAATGTGAGGATTTAGAATTTAAGGTCATGCAAGTATCGGCGCACACCTGATGGGTTCCCAAGTTAAAGCGTACGTGCGGGAGTCTGTGACCTACCTTGTCTCCTCCGTGGTAGGGGCTCCACCCCGCCCATTGGACACCTTCGATTGGGTTATAAGTATGGTCTCTTGACACCTCCATGAGTGACCATGACTAGTGTGATTAGTTAAACTTTAGCCGTATAGGTTAAGTATGGTAAAAATAAACAAGATTTGAACTGAACAAACGAACAACTAATCAAATTGTTAAAAAAATGATATTTGTTGATTCTTCAAATATTGTGTGATTACATATTAATACATGCCAGTCTATATTTAGTTTTAGTGTTAGATATATAATCACTCGGCTTTGAGCTGAGTCTGACATTTCATCCTTCCAAGATACTCCCTATTCACAGGGATAAAGTTCACTCATTTTGTTTGCTCATTTTTACTAGTCATTTTATAAAATAATATAGTCTTGTCACCTCTAGTTTTGTAGAACTTTTCATGTAGTTTATTACTATATAAATTTTATTTTAAAATTTTACTCCTATAATCAATTAAATTGAAGTGAAAATAAAGTCGGTCAAGCCTCGTAACGCGTAATGGAAAGATTTTAGGTGGACGGAGAGAGTAATGGATATAGTACTCCGTATAATACGAGAAAGGATGTGCCTCATCTCAATGGTTACAAACTTACAGTAGATTCGGTCGAACGGTCACTAAAAGGAGATAAATTAAATTTTAATCGCATATTAAACTGAATGCAGAGATTTCATGCTTAACATAATTGCCTCCAAGCACAAATACTAGAAATCAAACTTGGGTCTACTCCTTGACATTCTTTGCTTTTGCCAACTACGCAACGCTGACCGGCAGTACTCGATATAAAATAAGAGTGACAACAGAAGATCAACAAATCAAAATTAGAGTACACTCTCCTTCCAAAATAATTGATTCATTTTGAATAATGTGTAAAATTGTATTTTTTAAAAAATTATTTTATTCATAAATTAGGACATATACATAATAAATAAATACTTTTTCTCTCCCACAAAAAATAAATTTCTACATTTCTTTTTTTATTCGTTCTCAAAAATTTCAATTTTTTTTTTGAATAGTTTTGGCGGCCCATGTAATTTCTCTTCCACTCTACTATTTTTTCAATTATATAATTTCACCATTTTTTAATAGGAAATCTGTTTAAATATGACTGGAACATTTAACTTTTACCAACAATAAAATGTTCTATATTTTTTGCCTTAATTATGATCGTTTACAGAGTGCAGTGCCATAAGGGTCATGTTAGGAAAACAACTTTACCGATAGCTTTTGACATTTTTCACTGGCTTTGGCTTTTTTAACTAAGCGAACAGCCAAAATTATTGTTTGGCTAATGACTTTTTTCACTTGGCATTTTGATCCGAAAAGTCAAAATTTGAAAAGCCAAGAGAGTAGCTTTTGAAATTGGCTGTTAGAAAAATAAATTTTTTTAAAGTCATTTTTCTTGAACAATATTCTATAATATATGTAAAAAAAATAAAAATAAAAGTTAAAAAATTCAAAAATAAAAAACATAAAATTTAAAATTTAAAAATTTCAAGAAAAAAAATGAGATGAGAAAATAAAAAGTAAAAATCATAAAAAAAAGTTGTATATCAATAATTTCTTATGAATTAAATGAAAGTAAAATTTAATGCTCCATATGGTAAAGATTTAATTTTTACATGTAAGAAAAAATGAAAAACAAATATTGTGTGTGTGTATGTGTCTATATATATACGGAGTATATATATATTGGAACAACTATTTTCAAACAGTTAATTTTCTTTAACATTTTTAACGATCAATCAACTCATCCTACCAATCAAACCAACTAAACTAAACATACATTTACAACTGCTAACACGAACGACCAACAACCAATATCCAAACAAGGCCAAGATGGCATAATATGTTGACATTTTGTTAGTGGAGACTTGTTGCTAGGCTGTTGTATTTAGCTTATTAATTGGGCCCGTATAGCTTAGTCCACTTGTATTTGTATAAAGAGGATTTTTCTTAAATAACACTAAAACATGACTTTCCATAAATAGCATCATATGTGTTTTTCCCAGTATTGCACTTTTACACTATGTTTGGCACAAGGATTTTGGAAGGAAAAGAAAAGAAAATGATTTTCTCTCATTTTCCTCACCAAAATGGAAGGAATTTGATTTTCCCTCCACTTGGTATATTTTGCCTCCTCAGTTTCTTTTCCTTCCACTTTTCCTTTTTTTCCCCTCTAACCAAACAAGAAAAATAGTTTTCCAATTCATTTTCTTTTCTTTTCCTTTTCAAATTCTGTGAACCAAACATAGTGTTAGTCATTATCTATTAGTCATTATTCAAGTAAATGTTCGCCATCACTGGACATTATGGACATTATTAAATGTTATTTAGGTAATAAAACATGTTAAGTGTTATTTAAAAAAATGACCTAAGTGTTAGTGTTATTTAGTACAAATATTTCTTGTACAAATATTGGTTTTGTGTTCAATGAAAAGCATATCGGTTTCTACTAAATTTCTATATGGTATCGGAGCCTAAATTTGGATTTTCATGACTTCTAGATCGTACATAGCTGAAAATTTTTCGGTTTTCTCCATCGGCTTTGATCTTCTTTTTCCGAATCGGCACACCAAGAAGATGAAGCCGGTTATGATATTCGGATATTCTATATTGATAATCTGTGACATTATAAATATGTCCTATTTTCATATATTACTTTTGTTCTAAAGTATTTGGTTATTTCTAACACTTTATAGTCAAAATTGATACATTTTGACGATTAATAATATAAAATTTATAATAGCTATTGATAAGCGAATAGTTTTATTAGCTTTATCTCATAAAATATTTTCAATATTCGACCTACTTTATATAATTAATATTCCATTTAGTATTGATTTAATTATAAGTCAAATTTTGATCTTTGTTGGCTTTAAAAGTCAAAACTGAACAAATATTCTAAGACGAAAGCATTAAAACAATGAAAGTCATGTTTTGGTATTTAGAGCAAGTTTTAGTCTCAAGTAGAAGCAGTTTTTCCATTTTTAGAGGGTGTTTGGTAGGGGTGGACACGGTACGGTTCCGGTTCCGGAACCGCCGGTTCCGGTACCGCCACCCCTTGGTACCGGTACCGGTACCGGACCGGCCGGTACCGTTTCGGCCACCCCTAATTTTTTTTTTTTTTGCTTTTTTATTATATTTTTAAAATGTAAAATTGTAAATGTGTAATTGTTAAATGAAATGATGAAATAAAAAAATTTAAAAATGAAATTGATAAAGGAAAGAATGAAATAAAAAAAAATAATAATAATAACGGTACCGGAACCGGAACCGCCGGTGCCGGTACCGAAAAATGGGCACCGGAACCGGTACCGGATTGGGCGGTACCGGTACCGGTTCCCGGAACCGGTGGACCGTACCGGCCGACGGTAACGGTACCGGAACCGGCGGTACTGTTTCCGGTACCGGTACTGTACCGGTACCGTGTCCACCCCTAGTGTTTGGGAGTGTGTTGAGTTATGTAAAAGTAAAAGTCATAATTTAATAATCGAAAGCATATATTTTTAGCTTTGTTAGAAATCACTTCTATATCTTAATTTTAACCTCTAAAGCCATTATTTACTCCGTATAAGTTAAAACAGATTAGCAAACATTTAAAATTATGTTTTAGTAAGTAGAAGGTATAAGTTATTTTCAAATGCAAACCTTAACATCCTCTTAATCTTCGTGCCAAGTAAAACGTGAAATATTTGTTAGTCTTAAAATTTCACTCCCTCCATCCAACAATAATATTCTCATTACGTGTTACGATATACAAAACTAGAGGTGACTTGACTTTATTATTTTATCAAACGTGCAACGAAAATACGCCAACAGAGTGAATAAAGTTTAATATTGTGAATAGTGAACGAGAACATTATTGTTGGACTGAGGGAGTATTTTGATGGTGGGAGTAGTGAATAAGTATTCATGTTTTTGGCTTCTTGCATTGCTCTGGTAGCTAATCAATTCCATACACATATTTGGTGTTGAAAAAGATATCTCAAGGAACCATCTCAACCAAAAGCTCAAGCTTGTGGTTGTGGCCCGGGAATGATTGTTATATACTCTAACACGCCCCCTCACGTGAAACCTTAATTTTTTTAAACTGGGTGGCGGTGAGTTTCGAACTCGTGACTTCTTGGTCATCAAGGCTCCAATACCTTGTCAAGGAACCATCTCAACCAAAAGCTAAAGCTTGTGGCGCAGGAATGATTGTTATATATCTAACAGATCAGATCGAGGAAGAGATAGAAGAAAAGCTGTATGGACAATAATAACAATAGTCTTCTTCCATTATTTGAGACAAGAGGAAGGAGATGGAGGTGGGCATACAAGTTGTTTTCTGCCACAGTATTCATGGCCATCTGCTTCATATGGATTTACAGGTTCAGAAACATCATCTCATCAGAAAGGATAGAAGAAGAAGATGAAGGAGGAGGAGGAGGAAGAAGAAGACGGGGGGCGGCGGGGATGGGGATGCTGGTGTCGGAGGTTATGTTGGGTGTTTATTGGATCTTCACTCAGTCCGTTCGTTGGAGTGTGGTTTACCACTCTCCCTTCATTCATACCCTCTCTCTCAGGTCTCTTCTCCTTCTTCTTCTCTGTTTTTTTTCTTCTTCTTCTGATCTTTCTTTTTTCAACCATGGCAGCGAGCTAGGCGTACACCAAAAAGTGTACTCCAAAGAAATACATCAACATCAAATTAGCACAAAATGTTAGTTCCATTAATAAAATTTGCATGAATGTTTTTTGTCAATGTAAATCACCACACTAACACAAAATGTCGGTGTATGCCTTTGGGTTACAAATTTTAGTATACAAATAGCTTAATGACTTAATCCTTCTTTTTTGTTTGAAAGTTTCTACAATAAGCACTTTTGGTTCGAGAAATTTTAAAGAAAAAGAAAATAAATGACTTATTTTTGTCACCAAAATAAGAGGAATTTGATTTTCTGTCATCTTAGTATATTTTGCTTGCTCATTTTTTTTTCTTTCTACTTTTTTTTCCCTCTGACCAAACAAGAAAATAAGTTCTCTTTCATTTTCTTTTCTTTTATCTTTCAAGTTTCTTGAACAAAAGACACTTTAACGAACGATT